ATACAAGAGAAGGAAGAAAAACTGAAGAAGCTGAGACAGCAGAACGAGAAGAGGATGATTGCTCGAACGTTGCTAAATGATGCAACCAAACTTGTGAAGGAGGCTGCTGAGAAAAAGGGTATGGTGGGATTCAACACAGCACAATTCATGCTAGAAGGAGTGGAGAAAGCAATGGAAGAAGAGGACAAGGGGAAAAATGCTTGCAGATGCAATGCAGAAAGACGTTGAGAAACGGAAGAGTTCGTTGATAACTTCTTTTTTCATCAAAAACCAAAGACAAAGTAAAAGCAAAGACAGGTCTTACTTTAGAGTAATTATGTTTTGTTGTCATAATGATTACTTTATGTGTGGTTTTTAATATGTTTTGCTTTTTTATTATCCACAGTATGTGAATATTTTAAAAAGGGAATCTTTTTTGCCTTAAATTTTGTACAATAATAAAAACATTGTCCTATCTTCATTTTAAAAAATCAATAAAAAGGTGTGCGATCCTTTTATCTGGATCACATCTGACTATGGTGTTGGCTATGGGGATGGTGGAGGCCAGAGAATAATAGTTTTTAATGAAAACATAAATAAACAAATCACAAGTCCTAGTTTTACTTTTAAAACAATAGCTTCTCAATAGGCTGACATTAAATTGTTCAGTAATTTGTCAGGTTTTTGTCAGTATTTGGTCAGTTTTTCTGGAATTTTGGTCAGTAAAATCAGTATTTTCTGACCCTCTGACTAGTTTCCACCCCTGCTGTGTGCTGGACTGAGGCTTGAATGCCAATGCTTGTAGCATTCCATTCACGCACTGGCTGTGTGCTTGTCAATACATTCTAGACGTTTAGCTCATTTGAGTCTTATAAACTGGCTACAGCGGTCACTGTGTCTGAACAGCAGATGTATAAACTCTACACGGACGTATCAAGTATCCCTGGAGAGACTGAAATGATTATCTCTCTTCCCCATCGTTGCTAGCACTTCACGTCTGGAACCCCCGGGCCCCACACTCTTACAACATACCCTAAGAGGCAGTAATAACCTTCACTTAGCACCAAACCACCAGAGCTCCCTGCCAAGCACTTCATGGCAATGACAACCATACTGTATGGCCATACTGAAGCAATTTAGATTCTTCCTAGAGCTCTGACTCCTGCACTACCAGCCTGGAACACTTGTTATCAACTAGATGTGAGCCGTTTCACATGAAAAATTAGGAGGCTGCAGTACTGGATGAAGCTGAACTGCACATACCATAGAGCTCACTGTATTTTCTTTATTAACTAACTTTTCTGGTTCCAGCTGCCCCAAGAAACAGCAGCCAGTTGCTTTAGAGAACCAGCTTCAATCCCAGCAAAAGCCGTATTTTGAGACCTCTCTGGTAGGATGCGACTGAATGGTCTCTAGGGAAACGGCTTTGTCATACTATTTATCTGAACAGCATCTAACAATATTTCTTGAGACAATTAATAAAGGCATGTTTCAAATGTCAATACATGCCCCTTACAGCTCTAGGGAACAGCACATGGGATGGCATTTTGAGCTGCTGTGGGAAGGAGAGGCGAGAAAATTGTGCTATATGTGCGGAAATCCTTCCATTGGAAGAAACAGTCTGGTGGATCCAATCCAGGATTTAGATCGCAGAAATTATAGGCAGGTCTCCTGGTGCATTAATCCTTTGACAGTGCAAGGACCCACGAATAATACTCCTACTTCAGCCTGCAATGACTTCCCAGTTGATTTCATTTGTGGGTATAGCTCTGTACATACCTTGTGTGAAGTGTTATCGGAAGCCTTGCTGGCCCTTTGCTTTTGCAGCACCCAGAACTCCATATTATGGCATCCATTGGCTTCAGTCTATACTTCTGTATGCTGCAGAAGTACTGGCCCACCAAATTTGGCATTTTTTGTAGAATTCCTTTGGGGGGGGGAATCTCAGAATATCAGTTGCTAAGATCCACTACCTATGGCAACCCAGGCAGATACTAAGACACTGAGATGACTATCAACTCAAGAGTAAAATTTATGGGTCAGTTCTTGGACCACATCCTTATTTCCAACACATACCTGATCTAAAATCTATATTTTTTGCTTCTAAATGCTCCACTGCCCTGGCTGGGGGAGGGATACCTAATTTTCCTAATGAAACTGACACTTTTAATCTAGAGTTCTGCAAAGTAAAGTTTCTATAATCTATTCTGGTTGTTTAATTTAGATTTTTTTAAAAAACAATCCACATGGTTCTAATTAGACGTTGGGGAGATCAGTGGTTTAGATTTCAAGCTGGATCAATGACTGGCAGGATATGAAATTATTTCCTCTCTCAAGATTTCTTATTTTAATAGGTTCCCTTTGAATTCAGGATTTAACTGCTTGTCAGACCGCAGCCTGTTGGTGCAAAAAAGTAATTAACGCTGGACATGGGTTGCTTCCACATTAGCTATTTAGTCTGGAACGGACATGATTTGTTTACTCAGCTTGAGGCCACTGCCATGTCCAGAGTTGCCCCCCCACCCCCCACTGCCGGACCTGTTTTTTCAGACTTGCTTTTTTAAAACTTGAAAACATAACTGCAAACTTGTAAAATGCTGACTGTTTCAAGTGCTGTTATGGTTCTATGGGGCTACCTTCACTTTACAAATTTACTCCTTTTTGTTTCTGTGTTCAGATTAATTCCTGTTCAAGTGAACGGGACACAACATTCCTAAATCAACTGATAAGTACATGTCAGGAGTGGAATGGAGGCAGCCTAATTACTGCTTTCCACTTTGCAGTCAAAGCGAGTACTCATTAAAAAAGGCACCTGACAAACTTACAGTAATAACTAATGAGCAGTCATTTGGGCAGCAAACTGAAGTAACTAACCTCCCCTACCTGAAGAAGTTATAATTCATTCAGAAACCCATAAGTAAACAAACTAATTAGCCTGCAAACAAAGGTACAAAATTTAAAGGGAAAACTGCAGAGAGAAGCAGAATCTTAAAGTATCAAATGGAATCTGTTTCAGTGCTGATTGTGAAACAGAAATGACCAAGCAGTGCAAAAGCGTCCATGAAAACAGCGAGACAACAATGTTAAGAATGCTGGAAGTGGTTTGAGGGAGGTTTGCTTCCCAATATATATACTCTCTCATTTATCTGACCTTCCTGCCTGGTCAAATAAGGTTTTGTAACACTGCAAAAAGACCCACAACCTCTTTTCCAGAGGCAAGGTGGGACAATGACGCACAGCACAAACAAGAATTCTCTTTCAAACCAGTTTCAGTCTACAAAATCTGCAGACAAAAACCATCCCATGGAAGAATGGAACAGTTATGCCATTTGGTCTGTAGCTGGATCAGAACTGTACTACGTTTGATTATGGGTGGCTGACACAGATATTCTTCCATGCTGCACAGGAGGGGGGGGAACCTCTAAACGAAAAATTAGTGGAAGGAGGATTCTAGCCCAGCATCTATTTTCCCTATATGGAGGAACATTCCATGATGAGAGCCCCCCACCTGCAGCCTAGATGGGCTACTAACGTCACAGCACAGGTTCTTGGCCTTCCGCAAGAATTAGGCCGAAGAGGCATCTAGATTACCAAACTCCATCATAAACCTATCCAGTTTTGAAGAGGCTTCAAGAGGATGCTCAAGGGAAGCTGTGGCTTTTGGCAGTGGGTATAACACTGCCAAGAGATGGACATTGTGAGACCGGAAATGAATTCAGAGACCACTAGCAATGCAGTCTTAAGCAGAGTTGACACCCTTCTAAGCCCACTGAAGTGTATTGGGTGTAACTGTGCTTAGGATGGCACAGCCACTAAATGCTTGAGGAGGCAGGATTGGCGATAACTCAGTGTAATGCCAAAGAGCACAGCAAAAATTAGAGTCCTTTTCAATGTGTAAGGTGTACTTTCCTAAGGGGTGTCTCCCCCCCCCCTTTATATTTCATTCTCACATGGAAAGATTTTCTTTTGGACTGCGGAAGAGTCCACCCTGCTGGTATTTCTGCATGAGTTACATTATTAGGCATGCCTTCTCAGAAGGCAGGCAACTCTGCTGTGATAGAATGAGCTAACTGCACCCAATACACAGACATGACAGACTTGTCCTCCCATCAGCAGGTACTAACTGGGATGAAGACCAGAGCAACGAATCATGCAGAAATATAACTAGGGGTGTGCAAAAAAAAAACACCAGTATTTTTCGGGTTCAGGTATAATGAACCCCCAAAATATCAGTATTTTCTGATATTCCTGAATCCCAATACTAGTATGGTATTTGGATTTGGTACAAATTCAGGAAACCCAATTTTTTTCAGCTCCATTATACTCGATGGGGACCGTTATAGTCAAATGCTGGTGCCTTCCCTCAAAAAAGAAAAAGTTTTGAAAAGACTGGACTGGGGGTCCAATTCTATGGGCCCCCAAAGAAGGTGCCCCAATCTGTCATTGTTTCCAATGAAGGGGGGCGGGAGGCAGCTAAAGGGACAGCGATCCCTTTAAACACCTTCTCCAAGAAGTGAGTTCACCCAGAAGGCATTTAAAGGAACTGCAGTCTTTTTACATGCCCTTTAACTTTGCTATCCAGTGGTCCTGAAAATCCTGAATATTTTCAGGGCTTGACATTAGCCAAAATTAAGTCCCAATTAATAACCAGCATAAAAACCAGTAACGTATTTTTTGGATATTTTTTTCAGCTCAGTTTATGCCGAATGCACACCCCTACATATAACAGGCAGCCTCCTTTCTGGGGCTTCTAAATTATTCTTCTCACATTTGTAGTTTCTGTTGCCACACACCAATTTGACCAAGAAATGGTCTGAGAATGGCTGTGATGGGCATTGTTGCAATGTCAGTTGGAAATCGTCCACATAATGTCTTCCTGAGGACATGAGGCTAGTTGGTGGTAACAGACAGGAATAAATACTTCCATTTTTGTAAAGGCCACAATCGCCTCCCCCCCCCTTCTCTGCAGTTCAAACCACATTCTCAAAAGTGAGTTTGTTCTAGGGCTTGTCAAGACTTACAGACAGATGTCCACCAGCTGATTCAGTTCAGGACAGCTGCATTCATAGAGGTCCCTGCAACTGGCATGGCTCTGGTTCATTAAATCCCCCAGCAACTGGATTGCGTCCATGGGGGCCTCCTCACATATCTTCTTAAACTCTAGAACTCTGGCAGCTTCGCTATACACATGCTTCGCACGCTGATACAATTTAAAGATGGTCACTAAATAATAAAAAAAGAAAATATTAATGTAGGGGAAAATGGAACCTTACATGATTTATTATTGTCAGATGTAGTCTTGTAGCTCCCAGGGAAAACTGGCAAGACGGATGATCTTTATATCTAGCTCTTCTTTAATTCTATTTTAGAAGATATACGAAACATCTGCATCTCAATTCAGCAAGGGAGATGAGCAATACTCTTTGATGACTTCTCCACAGGGTTCCCAGGTCCCGTCCACGTCTCCCAGCCACTGGTGGGGGATGGGGGGGTAGGGTTGCCAGCTCCAGGTTGGGAAACTCCTGGAGAATTGGGGGTGGAACCTGGGGAGGACAAGGACCTCCGTGGGGTACTATGCCGTAGAGTCCACCTTCCAAAACATCAATTTTCTCCAGCGGAACTGATCTCTGTAGTCTGGATATGAGGTGCCATTCTGGGGTATCCCGTCTGGAGGCTGGCATCCCTGCTTCTCCATTCATGTTTGTTTGTTTGTTAGTTTATTAGATTCCTACTCCGCCCTCCCATTTCCTTTCCATGTGGACTGACTCCCCTCACATCCTGGTATGCTCACTTGCTCTCTGATCTCTATGCTGCAGAACCCCTCTGGGCCAACTAATACATTGGTAGACACATAACCTCCACAAGGACTTCCAGTTAAATGTGCAGTGTGAGGCATGTAACTTAATTCCTGGACTCACACAGGCCTGATTCCAATCAGGACCATGGTACATGGAGAAAGGATGCTTCAGTGCCCCTCTCCTTGTTTCACCAACCTGAAATGAGCCCCAGGAACCACTGTTTGTATCCATCAGTACACATATGTTTCCCCAATGGGAAAATAAAACAGTGGCTCCATAAAGCTATTTGTCAGGAACACGGTTGGGGGGGGGGGACCTGAAGCAACTACAATCAATAGACTTGTTGATACACAATAACAGAACAATTTAATATGTTAAAACACCAGAACAGCATATGACAAAAACAAATACAAATAACACAAATCAAATTTAGTAACAGGGTGTTTTTTTGTTAAATTTGGGGCCTTAAACTAAGCAATGAAATAAGGAGCCATCACAGAAAAGGTCCTGTCCCTTGCGGTCACCTGCCTTGTTTTGCTAAAAGCGGGAACATTCAACAAGATCTTAGATCATTATCTTAATGATTGGGCAGGCTCATAGGGGAGAAGGTAGCCCTGGCGTTATGTGGTCCATGGGGTCGCGACGAGTCAGACTCGACTGTGCGACTGAACAACAACAACAAGCCCTGAAGACTTTGCTTCACCGTGCCATTCTAAGCAGAGTTATCACCTTCTAAGTTCACTGAAGTCACTCGCCTTGGAAGGGTGTAACTCTGCTTGGGAGGGCACTTGAAACTCTCACAAGGGTCCCTGAGACTTCGCAGTGGAGGCAGTTCACACATGTGGCTGAATGTGACAGGCATGTCTGGACACACACCAAGCGTCAAGTGTCTTGGGCTTTTGTTGTCAGAAAGTAGGAAGAATCCAAAGATCTAAGGCTTTCATCCTGCCCATCAGGGACCCAATGAAGAGGCCACAACAGATAATTCTGTTTTTCTTGTAGGGACCTTGGATGCTGACAGTGATGTAAGTCACCTACTTTGCTTTCATGAAAAATGGTACGCATGCACTAATAATACAACTTTCCACAATAAGAATCACCAGCAAGACTTGTACGATCTAGCTGGTTTAAAGAGGAATCACTTGACTAAAAAAGAGTAAGTTTAACACACACCATCTGAGAAACTAGAGTGGATGGGAGGGGAAGAAAGTCTAACAGTGAATGAACAAAACAACATCTCTGCATAGGTGCCAGCATTTTGTTTGGCTTGATATGAAACGTAATTATTGTTAATAAGCATGGACCCAATAGGGCAATTGCTTAAATATGTCATGGTTTTTGGAACAGGATTAAAACCCATCAAAAAGGGGGGTGGGTAGAAATGACCCTCCTGGGAAGGGTCACTGAAACAATGTTTAGAGGTTGCACAATTCCCCATTTACCAAATCCATTCAGGAGTACATTTTGTCCTCAAGCACAAGAACTGGTCTGGGCTACTTTGGTACTGCACAGTGCACAACTATCACCACTGAATGCCTGGGTATGTGTGTGTGTGAGAGTTTACAGAGGCGTATAAAACAAGAGTTCTTCTACGGCCGAATTCTCCTTCTGACTCTTTCACTTTTGATGGCGTTGTTTTACAGCAGGGCCATTTTCTAAAATGTGCATTTGTTTAAAGGCATATCTGAAGTTGCGTGAGAGTTTGCCATAGCTCACGCTCTCTTGTAAATCACCAATTGAACAGTAGTAACCCAAAGAATGAACTGAAAACACGTCTGGTTTCCATTTGAAAGCATGCATTCTTGCCAAAGGCTGCGATTGATTCAGAGACCACCCTTCGGTAAAGCATGGCTTCGCCAGCCAGATTACCTTAAAGCACTTCGCGGTTCTCTCAAGATCATCACGTTACGTATTGGCAGGCGAGGCCGTCTTTGTGCTCCTGACCACTGGCCAGACGCTGGGAGGACCTGCAGGAGAAAGCTCTGCAACCTTCTGCATTTGGTGCTGCCTCTAATCTAGTGTAATCCTTTCAAAATCAATTATTATATCCGAAATGACAGAGACCAGGGCTGCCTGGTTGTTTTTTCTGTGGACTCTCTTGTTTACCCAGCAAGTATGAGTTAAGGAACGATGGCTGGGATAGTCTGCCTTCCCCGCAGTCGTGCGTTGGCTGTCCTCCACGGCGGAGCCCGTTCCCTCCAGCACCGGGAACTTCTGCTTGCACAAGACCAGTGTTTCTAAGGAACCCCAAAACGCCGAGCACGAGGAATGCGCCCCGAAGCAGAGGACAGCCACCACAATGAACGGGAGAGGTCCTGATCTGTAGCCACTTTGATGGACAGGGACTGTTTGTTGCCCAGGGTCACACAAGAGACAACAGCGGAAGTGAGTTACGGAGCCAGGATAAAAGCACACATGGGACGAAGTTACACTATCCAAGCTGATATCCTTAAAGCACTCCATTTTCCTCCTAGTTAAGCTAGTAACAGCCTCCTTCGGTGAGACATGGTCTGAAGGCAGCAGCCTTGCTGGCAAAATCTGTGTCTGGCTACCGTACGATTACCAACCTGAAAGGAGCCCTCAAACTTCCCAGAATTGAAAATGTAGTAACTAAATACATAATTGGAGAAGACCACAAGCACTGATACAGAGTGGATTCTGGCAATGGGGGGAGTCGTATGGAAGCCATTTTAAAGGGGTACCAAGATGTACAGATGATCTGTAACCTCCCTCTACATGGACATCATGTGCCAGATGTGTGAGTAGTTGTGGAAAGGTTGTTTAAAGACACGAGTAGTATTTTCCACCCCACCGGTCAAATTCTTTAAACAAGTAAAACCATCTTTCTTCATCACTGTATTGTGGGTGGTGAAACATGGTGATATACATGCAAGCACGAGGCAAGCAGCAGGTCACCAACCTGTCTCTAACTTTTGGCCTCCAGGGGAAACTCACAACAGCCAGCCTGTTCACTTGAACACATCTGCCTGAAAGGATTCAGTGCCAGCAAAAGCACTGCTTGCATCTACACACACACTAAGTACAAAATTGCTCCCCTATGGAGAAGAGGTTTGTGAAACAGCCAGATGGGACAGCTAACCTACAGGACAATCATTGGATTCAGCCAAGTCCTTAGCTCACCTACAGGTTCCAGACATTACTCATCCAGACAGTCGGCTGACCTCCTGTGTGAAAATTATCTAGAGCCAAGGAGGATGCAGTATCACTGTCAGTCTGAGAGGAGGCTCTGCTATTCATCATTTCCCCAAAAAATATTAAGGTGGGAAGGTTATGGAGCTACATCTCACTTTAGGTGTGGAAAGTCTTTCACCCAACAGCATTACTTTGAGATGTAAAAATCCAGATATTTCACTTTCCTTTTAAAAAAAAAAATCAAAATCCCACCTTCATATTTTTCGAACGAGGAAAGTCCTAATTTCCAGTGGTGAGGCATATACTTCTCCCACAGTAGGTTAATATCCCGCCCCCCAATCAAGGCTATCACTAATTCTTCTGCTGCACTGGACACGGATCATATAGCACTGCTGACACTGGACAGATACAGACAGTGATTTGCCTGAGCAAAGCCCCTGGGAGAGGTCCTGATCCATAGCCTCTTTGATGGACCAAGGTCACACGAGAGACAACAGCGGAAGTGAGTTATAGTGCCAGGTCTTTCAAAGCAGAGACCTGCTCACTAACACAAACCATACCGGTATTTCCTCCAGATGGACAATGAAGAAAGGCATGACACATATATTCTTCTCTGTGGAACCATGCTCTCACCGTACTGTTATAGCCTTCCTCATGACTTGTGTATCACACAAGCTTCCATAATTCAGCCCACCCTTTTTGCCAGATGGGCTTTGTAGTAATGTCCCAATTGTGCTTGCTGAGATAAGAAATTCTGCAGTCTAGAAACTCAAGTTGTCTGTGGTGGCTTCCCTGAGAGATGGGGCAGCCATCACTAATCCATCCAGATGACATCATCCCAGCAAGCATTCTGTCAGGTAAACTTCATTTCCCAGCACTCCAATAACAAAACGCTGCAGAGATTGGAAAGCCAAAAGGCATCATCCCTGCATTGGTGTGGAAACAACTTGCTGGATAGTACCTATGTATCACAGACCAGCTCTCGTACCTTTAGTAAAGGTAAAGGTTTCCCTTGCTCGAAAGCCAGTCGAATCCAACTCTAGGGTACAGTCCTCATGTCCGTTTCCAAGACGAAGAGCCAGTGCTGTCTGAAGATGTGTCTGTGGTCATGTGGCCAGCATGACTAGATGCCGAGGTGCACAGAACGCTGTTACCTTCCCACCAAAGCGGTACCTATTTATCTACTTGCAATTTCTTGCTTTTGAACTGCTAGGTTGGCAGTAGGGGTGTGCAAAAAAAAAATAATTCAGCCCGATTCAGATTCAGCCAAAT